AATTTATATTATAACTTTTTTTTTCATTTCACATTAAAGCATCTAAGTAAGTTATTCTACAAGATAAAAGGCATTTTTGGACGAAAGGATAATAATCATATCAGAAACAAAAGTGGTTCGTTCCGTATCTGATGTTACATCATAAAAGAAACATTGAAGCAACAAGTGTATTTGCTTTTCTCATTCAAAATAGATACAAGAACAAAGGGTCATCAATCTCAAGTGAGGTGACATAATGATAAACAGCTATTGTTAGAATACAAAGAGGATGGAAATGGATGTAAAATATAAACTCACCTCTCAACACCAACATGGCAGCCAGAAAGACCCCCCACAGTCAACCCACAATGCATTGCAAGAGTGCAAATTGGGCAATTTGCTTTCTAAGCTGTTTCTAACAGATATTTGTGACAAAAAATCTCCTGGATTGTGGATTTTAAACGCCAATACAACTTTTACATTTCTTGAATATTCTTTTTTTTACAAGAAGGCTTAAAATATAGGAAAATATAGGATTTACCTCAATTTATAGGAGTTTATAGGACAAGTCTGAAAAAATAGGACTTTATAGGATTTTATAGGAATATATAGGACGCTTGACACCCTGCAGTTGTTCATGCCAATTCAGAAATGAGGAGGGAACTGAAGCCGAAATGTGTCGCACAGTTGTTTCTTATTCTGGGGTTATTACCGGGAGAGGTGGGTCAGCTATTGGCCATTTTTCCCTGTCCCTAGTACAGTCTTTTTTTTAAGTTAACTCGGCCCAGTTTGTGATAAATGGAAAATTTTTAGTGCTCCATGAAACATCATAATATTGTGACGCAATCAGACTCTGCCCTACTCAGACTGGAGTACAAAGCATTGGTTTTGCTACCGCTATTGTTCACTGCAAGTTGAGCTAGAAACAGTTATCACATTTATGTCCCCAACAAGTTCTGAACCTACAGTGCACAAGGTTTACCTTGAAAATTTGCATTTGGAAAATACAGTGCATGTAGTGCTGGCATGCCAAGCTTTTGGTGTTTTTGTAAGTTTAGTTTTCCTTGTTTCCTCATCCGTTGAAAATAAACAAATTGCTCAAGTATTAGTTGTCTTCTTAGAAAACCACTTGTTTGTCATAAGAGTGTCATGATTACCGGTATATCCTTGTACTTCTGAGATAGAAAAACTACATATCTGTCCAAAAAATAAATACATGTACTTAAACAAAGAATACTTTAGCAACCAAGTTAATTCAGTGTTGTAAAGGCAGTGTAATACCATATTACAGAAATAAAGGTTAAAGGAAGCAATATATGTACACTGTATGACTGCCAAAATCCATACATTTTTGGTACATTTTCTGCATTTCTTTCTTAGCATTAAAATTAAAATCTCTCAGTCTTACTGTTCGCAGGTTCACTAATGAATCTCCAAAGCAGATGTGTTTGAAGAGATCATTTTTCAACAGGGATATCGTCTGTCCACCTCAGCAAACAGGAGTGGAAAGTCATAAACAAAACCATTATGCGCAATCAGTACTAAAAAGAAATACAACAGTAACGTAAATGACTGTTCATGAAACAATCCCATTCCTATTTTTCTATTGTAGTAGCTTGTCATCACTATTTCTATAACACTTCTTCTTATATTTCAGAATTCTGATCTCAGCCTTATAAATATCTATAAGATATATTAATAAAATGACATTATTTTTACATGGTTTTGGACTTTGTGCTTTTTTCTTATCTAGAATGGACTATTTTGATTTAATTTTGTAGACAAGAGATGGACTGTCATTTCATTTAAGTAGTACAACTTTGTGTACCTGGGAAGTATTTTCTCTTGGTTAATGTGGAAATCTCATTTGTCAGATTTTTGATCCATGATATAAACCTTGGAAGTACTTCTGATAGTTTTGGTTGGTTTAAAAGGTCAGTCTGTTTTATTCCACATTTTTTCACACCTGAAAAACAAAATATATTGCATGTAATGCTATTCAGTCTTGTTTTTACTGATCTTTAATGAGACAAAAACATTAAAAAATGGAAAAAGCATTATTTCACATGATTGATTACTTTCAACCTCTAACCTAGTGTTCATACTCTCTTAGAGGTGTTGATGACAGACTGGAATGTTGATGGGATGTTGGTTTCTACATTGCCAGCCAGAGGCTGCAGAACAGCAGCAATCTCCACTACGTGGTCCTCATAGACTGATCCCCCAGTACCTTCACAATCATTTAGGAAGTACAGTGGGGAAGGGCTGTCTGTCACTTCATCACTTGATTCATCGTCACCGCTGCTGTCTGTTAAATTGGAGATGTAGTTATCTGGTTCAGGTAACTCATCCTCTGAATTTTCACTGTCACCACTTTCTTCTGACTCAGAACCAGCTGTTCCACAGTAGGATGTTGTTACTGAAACTGCCTTCAGTGACTTCATACATTCCTTCTCTTTTTCATGTTTTTTCATGTTTTTTTCCTTTCATTTGTAAGAGAGAATATGAGATAAACCATTCTCTTTTGTAGTACTACTCATTCTTTTGAATGAATTTTTTTGAACAATTTGTTGCGTTTTCACTGACCACAGAGGTAAAATAGAGGTGCTAAACAGTAATACAGTCATTCACATTTTAGATGTCAATTTCTTAACTTTAACTTTCGTTGTAGTAAACTGCACTATACCTAGCAGCAATCGTTATACATTTGTATTTTTCCTGTCTTAATTATTAGTTGTAAAATATTTTTACAAAAATTAGCAGTTCATAGATTAAAAATAGCATTATAAAAATGAACCTTTTCTTTTGGTAATCTTGTGAGCTTCTCATCTTGATCTCTCTGTCATATTGTTCCTGTCTCTTGATTATGCATTCTCAAACTCATTAATAATTCATTAAGAAAATACAAAGGAAATTAATGTTTAATGAGTGTTTGGAAATCGGATGAAACACTGCTTAGTATTTGCATCCTTAATTTCTCCTTCAAAAATGATTTTGTTTGAGAAGAAATATCAAACATGAGATGCAGTGTTTCATCACCAGATGAAACACCTCGAAGTTCGTCAAAAATACTCTGCTGCGCGTCGTATTTTCAACTCTCTTCTCGGTGTTTCATCTGGTGATGAAACACTGCATCTCATGTTTGATATATTACTTCAACTGACTTCTTTGGCATGGGAATTTGAAGGAGTTGGAAAAGCAGAAGTACCCAGATAGGACCAATGTTCTACAGAAAAGTGTTGTCAATGTACATATGAATAACCGTTACAGTAGCTTTAGCTGGATATTATATTTTCTCTTTGTTTATAGCTTTAAATGTCGAACGTTAAATTGTTTAAGTACTGATTTTTTTTCAAATTGTGTTAGCTCTTTCAAATGAAATCTCTAGCATTGTTCTTTTCAATAATGCTTGAAATTATCTTTGATCAATTTTGTTTCAAGAGAATGATTATTGTGAAATAATTTTTCTTTAATTACACCATTTTATTATATGCTTTAATGAGATCACCATATTATTGTTGATCATCTTGTGAGGTATTGACATGTTAGCCTTGCATTTATAATGTACAGATCTCAGGTCAATCCTCTTGTTCCGGTACATTAAAACAATCTCATGGTATCCCTCTGGGATGTTATTTGTTACTCTCCCATCAAGAGTAATGTACTCGTCAGGTCTGGTGGCCATTTTTCCAAGAAGTGCTTTAAACTCCCTCAGTTGTGATGGGGAGCTAAATGAATGTTTACAGTGGTAGCGCTTTCCATCTTCATCTGCCTGTACAATTACACAACCACAATTTTTTAGCGGAGCTCCTCGCGCGAGCGAAGCCCGCGCAGAGCGGAGCACCATGGGTAAGAAAATTTGGTAAACTATCCATCTGAGAAAATTTGGTTATGACGTAGCGTATGCCCGCCCGCCCGTAAACACGCTTCATGTAAGCCGATGTCAAATGTCACAATAGATCTTGCACAACTTGACTAGCCTCTTAGTTATCTAAGCCATCCGTATGAGTACGATTAGATTGACAGCTGTCAAACTTAGACATCCGCTAACAATTATCACATGACTATCTCGCGGGCTGAGATGAAAGACCAGTCGTTTTGCCCCTACATATAAGCTGATATAATATGTCACACTTACCAATTCAACATAAAAACAAAACTACGCCGGGCAAGGCTGTCAGTTGGGAGACAGTCGTTGAAAGTTATATTGGCAAGCCAAATTAAGGTCAATTGACAGCTGTCAAAATGGGACATGTGCAGACCACTATCAGAAAACTAATAACGTGGGCTCATGTTCGCTCAGGTACATGTCTCACACTTTCTAGCTAGTTTGGGAGCCTGCAACCTGATATTGTACATCCATGTTTTGATTAATTGACAGCTGTCAAAATAGTGTTTCTGCTGACCAGTATCGCCTGACCCTATTGCGGCCTCAGGTATCGACCCACTGAGTTCGAGTGTATTTTTAACGTATCCGCTGACAGGTTGCTACTTTTCAATTATCGCAGGCTCAAGTTCAATTTTTTTAAAAAAGCATATGAAATAAGACGAGTTCATGAGCTGCACTTTTAAAATGTTGATTTTGAACTGACCTCGGACGCGAAAATTCAACCGGCTTTTACATTTACATGCGGGGAAGGCAATCACTTTTGACTTTTCTCACTGTCATGTGTTGACCACGCTCTATGTCCAGTTTTTATGTTCTGATTGGTCAAAATTTGACAGGTGAGTTCATGCGGAAAATTTATGCAGCGTCTGGCAACTTGCTTACTAATAGCTGGAGCTTACAGAGTTTTGTGTCATCTTGTGATATTTTAAACCGGCTTATCCTACTTGGTGTACAAAACTAAATACAGCTGCTATCAAGATTGTTCTGTAATTCATGGCTGGTTTGTTTATTGCGCTTTTTGTTGACAAATGCACCGCTTGTCAAAGTCATTGGAAATCCGATTTCGGATGTCATCGTTTTCAAAAATGAGCTTACTCACTTGCCCTTGCTTGAGGCGTAAGAGGGTTGAAAATTCTGGAACACTTGATGACCTTCAGAAGCAGCATATCGACTGGTAACCCTGAGAAATTCTTGTCTTTGATGTGTTGTTTTTTTCAGTTTCCTGAAGTGGAGCGTATGGTTTATGCGGCTTAAGTTTATACACGAGCAATTGTCTAACCTACAATAGTATTAGGTTTAAAAAGCCTTTAGACATTTTTTGACCGCAAATTCAAAGAAAACGTTCCGAAGATTATTTACTTATGATTTTGGCTGTAAACAGAAATATCTGAGCGATTTTCTTGCCTCGAGTTCATCTTGAAAAAGAGCAAACACCGGGAAGCCGGCTTAAAACATAAATAAGCTTATGCTTACCTGACTCATGATTTTCAAAGACACTCTCAATACTTCTCTTCGTGAATGAAAATTATTGTCTCTGTACATGTTTCACCGAATTATATTTATTTTATTGATTCTTAGTAGTCCCTCTCGCAATTTTTATCGCTGCACCGGTTGTATCCAGTCGAACATAAACATCTCATGCAGGAATACTCAAAATGCCACGCGTAAATATCACTCGCTTTTAAAGATTACACAAACCAAAACCATACGCAGTTTAATAAATAAAGGAAAATAAAACCTAAACATAACAATTTATCTATCAGGTTGAAGCGTAAATGGTAACTCTTTTAATCGCACTGCAAATTTGGTGCCTGTCAAAAGTGAGCCCCGTCCGGCTGGCCGAAAAGTGATTTTGGGAATTTGTTTATCGTTTTCATTAAAAGCTCATATTACCCTGCATATCACATAGGACCAGATTTTTCTAACTGAAAGTCCTAGCATTATAGAATTCTCTTCATGAAAACGTTTTATAATTCAATGCTATAATTTGTTGTGCAAAGGAAGGGCGTGCTTTGGTCGTCGTGGATATTGAATGAGTGCAAATTCTCTTGCAAAATTGTGAAAAACTGCAGAATTATAGCGCAGCTCTCGCGCGTGCGAAGCGGAGCACCATGCGTAAGAAAATTTCGTAAACTATCCATCCGAGAAAATTTGGTTATGACGTAGCGTACGCCCGCCCACGTAGTGTTTAAAGTTTTTCGCTGATATTTTATTTGATCACGGGCTCAATTCGAAGCCGCATAGGTTAGAAAATCTATCCATCCTAGAAAATTCGGCAATAATGTGACCGTACACCACCCGACCTTCCGTCCGTCTGCACGACAGGCATACCAATGTTTAATCTCACACGTTCTAGCTAGTTTGGGAGCCTGCAACCTGATATTGCACATCCATGTTTTGATTAATTGACAGCTGTCAAAATAGTGTTTCTGCTGACCAGTATCGCCCGACTGTATCGCGGTCTCAGGTATCGACCCACTGAGTTCGAGTGTTTTTTTGAAGGTGTCCGCTGACAAATTGCTACTTTTCAAACCATTGCAGGCTCAAGTTCAATTTTTTTAAAATGCATATGAAATAAGTCGTGTTCATACACCGTATTCACAAATGGCGGACACGCGGGAAAAAACTGGTGCCTAGTCATGAAAGCGAGGCGTTGGAGGATAAACAAAAATTGCAAATGAAGACTTTCAGTGAAACTTGCAGAGTGTTTAGCACGGATTCTACCTAAAATAACTTTGTACGGACTTCTTTTTAAATACAATTACGTCGGATGTCTTCTGCTGTTAATGTCAAGTAATGATTTGCTGTTTGCAATCAAAAGGGACGCGTATATCTTCATGTAAACAGGATGATTTTGTAAGTTTCCTGAGCATCAGAAGCTCGACAAGTGGACTATGGCTGGAGAAAAGCGGCAAACATGTTGGCCCAAACTTCACATTGAAACCGAGTACAAAAGCCAGCTAACTGCAATACGGTGAAACAGAAATATAAACAAATCTTGGTGGGAAGAAAAAAAGAAATAAGCGACAGATATATGGCCTACTTGTTAACGCAAGAGACGTCTGCCGTTGAACAAAACAGTTCAAGTCGAGATGGAAAAAAGGAAGACAGGAAAGAACAGGTGACTGAGGTTTCGAAGAAGTTATGTTTGGTTTTTGTTTGCCAGGACGTTATTCTCTGGTCTTTATCGATGAAGGACATCAATTAGAACTACTTTTTTAGTATCAATGCAGGAGCGATCGAGTGGAGTACGCTCAAATTTCAACTTGTTACTCGGCAGACTCGGTAAGCCGGAGACATATCATTTCAGCGAGTAATTTCGTATTTCTTATCTTTGGCTGTTAAGAGTTTTAACTTTATGTTCCATAATATTTTAAAGTTGAAGAATACATAAATAAATAAAGTGATGGTCTTCTTAAACGGATCCAGACTCGAATTTAATTATTCGAAACAGAAGCTTGCCGTGTTCAGTCATGACACAAACATTGCCTTAAAAGTTTAACCTAGTAAAATGTAAGCTTTATACCACTTTTTTACCAAAAGCTCTCTGAGATAATGCCCAAAAGGAGACCAGGCAAATAGCAAGCCATAAGATTCACACACTACAGCTTCTAATTTTTGATAAAATTATTTTCAATTATTTCGCAATGACAAAGAAATCATGAGGTTTTTGCTAAGCTCTGGCAACGTACCTCGAACAATTCGCTCCAAAGGCAGTTGTAAATACAGACATACATATATACATAGATATGTAAATGACACTGACATGAATGAATAAGCCTCGTGAATGAATCTTTCACCCGCTCTCGACTTGACCTGTTTTGTGTAATGGCGGAGGTCTCTTCCGTTGACAAGTAGGCCATATGTCCGTCGCTTATTTCTCTTTTTCTCGCCACCAATATCTGTTTTTATTTCTGTTTTACAAAATTGTAGTGGTCTGGCTTTCGTATTCGGTTTCAGTGTGAAGTTTGGGCCAACATGTTTTTCGCTTTTCTCCAGTCATCGCCCACTTGTCGTGTCGAGCTTCTGATGCTTCGGAAACCTACAAAATCATCCTGTTTCCTTGAAGATATACGCGTCCCTTTTGATTGCAAACAGCAAATCACTACTAAACATTAAAAGTAGAATACATCCCACGTAATTGTATTTGAAAAGAAGTCCGTACAAAGTTATTTTAGGTGGAATCCGTGCTAAACACTCTGCAAGTTTCACTGAAAGTCTTCATTTGCAATTTTTGTTTATCCTCCAACGCCTCGCTTTCATGACTAGGCACCAGTTTTTTCCCGCGTGTCCGCCATTTGTGAATACGGTGTATGAGCCGCACTTTTCAAACGTTGATTTCGAACTGACATCGGACACGAAAATTCAACCGGCTTTTACATTTACATGCAGGGAAGGCAATCGCTTTTGACTTTTCTCACTGTCACGCGTTGATCACGCTCTACGTCCAATTTTTACGTTTTGATTGGTTAAAATTTGACAGGTGAGTTCATGCGGAAAATTTATGCAGCGTCTGGAAACTTGCTTACTGATAGCTGGAGTTGACAGAGTTTTGTGTCATCTTGTGATGTTTTAAACTGTCTTTTTCTACTTGGTGTACAAAATGAAATACAGCTGCTATCAAGATCATTCTGTAATTCGTGGCTGGTTTGTTTATTGCGCTTTTTGTTGACAAATGCACCGCTTGTCAAAGTCATTGGAAATCCGTTTTCAGGTGGCATCGTTTTCAAAAATGAGCTTACTCACTTGCCCTGGCTTGAGGCGTAAGAGGGTTGAAAAGTCTCAAGCGATTCTGGAACACTTGATGACCTTCAGAGGCAGCATCTCGACTGGTAAGCCTGAGCAATTATTGTCTTTGATGTGTTTTTTTTTTCGGTTTTCTGAAGTGGAGCGTATTGGTGGTTTTCAGCTGACGTCACACATTTATGCAAATTAGGCACCCGCCATGTTGGAGCCCATGTAAGAGCTCATATTTTATGCAAATGTAAGCCATTTCTATTTAGGACGAAGCGTTCACGTGCAATTAATTTAACTTTTAATGGATAATTTCAAAGGCGAGAATCCAGAATCTCCAGAGGATATTCTGCAAAAGATACCGGTGCTTTCAAGCTATGCCAAGGGCCTAGAAAACCACATAAAAGAACGATATTTGAAGAAGATTTCTGTGGTGGAAGTAGATCCGGCGGCTTTACCGAGTGAGCAGTTGAGTCCAGAATGTTTGCCTCCTATAGAAGTCTCCGACTTGCTCTCGTACTTAGTTCTAGAGACAAGCCATTACACGAATAAGCAATTTAAGGCTTTCAAAAGTCTTCAGGCATATAATCAAATGGTTTCTGGCTTTGTCGCGTCAGTTAATGGAAAGGAAATCGCGGACAAGTATGTTGTAGTGGCTAAAGTGCGGCATTCCCAGAGCATGAGAGATCCTCTAGTGAATATTTGGATCATCACAGAGAAAGATGGAACCATTATCTCGGCGCATTGTTTAGATTGCAAAGCAGGCCTAGGTGAAACCTGCTCCCATGTAGCGAGTGCTCTGTTTTACATCGAAGCCATAACACGGATCCAAGGAAAGCTCGCCTGTACTCAAGTGAAATGCACGTGGGTTTTACCGACGTATGTGAACGAAGTACCATACGCGAGAGCAAAGGATATCACCTGCCTTGTTTAAATTTGAAAAGAATGCCCAACAACCACAGAACAACTTGGAAATGTTCTGCATACAAAAAAGCTATTCCTGTTCCAGCTACCACTTGTTCTTCTTCCTCCGGTTCCGATAGTAGTGATGAGGACATTGACGTTGTTATCACCAAAGTTTGTGAGGGTGAAACTGATAAGACTGCTGCCTTTGCAAAGATGACAGACTCCCATTTTGATTTAATTACTAGTCCTACTGGATGGCTAGACTGTGACATTATTCAGCAAGCTCAAGTTTTACTACAGCTTGAGAATGCAGCAATTGATGGCTTTCAGCGACCTACACTTGGTCGAGTTAGAAATTTTGACATTGTCAGTAGTGAATTTGTGCAAATTCTACATACTGGTAACAGCCACTGGGTGTGTATCAGCTCAGTTGGATGTCTGCCAGGACATGTTAACCTCTATGACAGCCTTTATGACTCTGTTTTAAGCCAGGAAATAGAGGAACAGGCAAATGATTTGCTAGGTGGGAGATTGGAAGCTCTCAATCCTATGCCAGTGCAGCAACAAAGAAATGGCAGTGACTGTGGGGTTTTTGCAATTGCATTTTCTACCTGCCTAGTATTTGGAGAAGATCCAACATTTGTAAATTTTGATATGTTGAAAATGAGGCCTCATTTAACTGCATGTCTTAGAAATGGAAGAATGAGCTTGTTTCCTTCATTTTAAATGCAGGGGCTCTCAGATACTTTTCAGACAGTTCAAAAAAAAAAAAACAGAAAACTGTATCAGACATGTAGATTTGCTTTACAAAATAACATTTTATTGTCTCGAGTAACACTTAAACATGACAAAGAGTAAAGCCGTCAAAATCAGATGTGTAAACCACATCGCTAGACAAGATGGATATATATTAATAACTTCACAGGACTTCAGGCTTCAGGATTAATCATCGATCGTTTATTAAGACAGTGCTGTTTCGTATGGTCAATGCTCCTCAATTGAATGAATTGAGCGCTCTGCAAAATACATTCTACCCAGAATACGAGTATTTATATATACACATATCTTTCATAGAGCGCTCAATTCATTTTATTGAAGAGCATTGACCATACAAAACAGCACTGTCGCAATAAATGAGCGATCAATATCAATTTAGATGAATATTCCTAATAACTAGATTAAATTACTTGTACTCATTGGCTTGGTCGACAGTGTAAGCATAGTTTTTCTTTGATTGGACTAGTGTTGATCAAACTCTCCGACAGCCTTAGAGGAGGGTGGCTTGGGAGCAGCAGTCTAAGGCAATCTTTAATTACAAAAAAAAAAAGCTTGTGTCTTTTGATGAAAGAGGACAACACAAATGAAGGGGCTAGTAAACAGTATCACTATGGTCCAACAAGAAGCACTATATTGCTTAAAATAAATGAATAGTATGAACACTTGTATGTTATTGTAATTACTGTTTTCCATTTCATATGTATGCACCTAGTAACAAAACCTGTTTGGGTGCTGGCCCTGCAATATTTTTACAGGAAACTTTAACAAATTATGTCTTGTGAAACAATTAGGTAGACAAAAAGAGGTGCTAAGAGGAATAAAACAATAGGAATGTAGTACTCATTGCTTAACCTCAACATTGATTCCTTTTGTTGTTTTTTTCCAAGAAACCCAGTAGCCAAGTATGAATGTTGTTATATAGAAATAAAGTGATCTTTCCACATGGCAAAGCTTGAAATAAGTTAAATATTCAAGCACTCACACAAGGCTAAGATTTAAATAGATTTGAGTTAGATTTGAATTTTATAGATAAAAATGATCCACCCTAAAATGATGTTCTTGTCTCTGAAAACAGCATAGCTGTATGCATGTTAGTTCACAGTTCATTAAATCTGCAATCTTAACCTGCCCCGTTCAAAGCAGGATAACAACATCTTGCTCCACAATAAACACAAAACAGACATAAGACACATTGTTAGGTAGAAAAAATCCCTGTTACCTTTACAACGAGCTGGGTTTCCACATCATTATTATATCAGTAGCAATTTCCCCATCAAAGAAAATATCAGTGCTTCAACCATGGAAGGGGACTGGATTAATTTTAATATGTGGCCATATCATCCAATGGGTTGGGCCACAAATTAAACCAAGCTTCCATTGGAGGGGGGAGGTGATTGTGAATACATTCTACGACAGATACAAAAATACATGTATATGACATCAAATTCAATCAAATGGAACAATTGGAGGACAAAAGTTAACAAGAGCAGCACAAACTCTTATCATGTGATCCACTAATGGAATACGACGGTCAGAGTTTTCATGATTACAAATCAGAAAGTCAGTTGGCAGAGTTCCTTCCAAAATGGTATACTTTCGTCTTAGTAGTCCAATAACACGTTCCACGTGGATTCTAACGTTGGCTATGCCTCTTGTCTCCTCTACATCCACTGGGTCTAGCTGAGCCTTTCCCCTTGTGAAAGCTGGGATTACAAGCTTTGCTTGCCTAAATCCAACAGATTCAGTGATGGTGAATCCTCTATCTGCCATAACCATGTCCCCTGGGATAAGCTTTTCCAGAAAACCACAGTTCTCAGTTAAAAACTTATCTGAGACACGACCTCCCCAGCCTTCTGAAAAAAAAAAGAGATAGTTCCTGTGGAGTTATCCCTACTAGAACCTTGATGGTATTGTGATGTTTGTAACTTGAGAAAGTCTGTGCCCTGGCCAGCAAGTTGGAAGGCTTTTCAATGAATACCTCAAAGCAATCAATGATCACGGTGGTTTTCTTCCCAAATGCATACTGAAAGCACTGGGGCATGGTCTTCCAAAGTTGGTCTCTGTTTGGCCAGTAAACAAAGCGAAATAATCTCGAATCCATCACCACAATCCAATGATAAAATACTCTTGAAATGGTGGACACTGACACAGAAAATCGGTAGGCAAGATCCTGTAGCGGTGCATTTAATCTTAGTTTCATGAGTACAATCATAAA